ATTTAAAGGAGTGACAAAAGCTGGATCAGATACTACTAAAAGAATATCCAAAATATAAGTGCATATTACCTTAATTTAATCCACAAGATAATAGATGTTGCCCATCTATCACTTTTTTCATGCTATTCTCGAAACATGTCAATCAGGCAGCAATCTGATTCAAATGTTTTTGCAAAGTGAACACTACGCGATATAGCATTTCTAGAATCTGTTTATGATGTCATTCTGGCAGTCGATCAAATAAGGTATCATATTTAAAGATGAACTACTCGATATTTTTTATGCATAGACTATAGGTAATACTCTATGCTATATAAAACCGTATATGCAAAATATTAAAATTACACATCAACTTATTTTGTAAAAGACATAGTTGGCTCCGTCTACCTTTGTTAGGCACATGTCGGAAGTAAAGTAGAGATTGCGTGCATTACTTTCTCTGTCTAATCGTAAGACCTATTGTATTACTGTGGGAGTTGAACCTGGATATTCTTCGGACAATTCTATACCAATATGAACACCTCACACGTACACCAATAGACTCATACTCACACCATCTGAGAGCTCTTAAAGATGATCTTTACTGCGAGTCATTTCTTGACGTCACAAACTGGTTCTGCCATGAAATTGTACATCTTATATGACTTTTCCAAAGTCTTAAGCTCAGCCTTGAAACAACCTCGTTTCTGGGGAGAAAGCCTCTTTTAAAAATCACGATTTTCGTCAAAACCTCATTTTTGAGAGCTCTCTGCTGATCGAAAGAAAATGCATGTAAAGCTGATATTTTCAGGAAATACAAATCGCTTTATACTCTAGCTTAAGTTGACATTTCAGACCTGTATTACATTCCCATCACGAGTTATGAAGCGCCCCAGTTGCCTTAAATATGAATTTTTCCTCATATTTGATGAGTCAGAGAAAATTGAAAATTATATGTTGAATATAACTCATGAAGATCGATGTTCATAAAAAATTTCAGCTCTATCAGTCACGTCATTCTTGAGATAAGGCTCTGTCAGAATCTTCATTGGTCGAGGTACTGATTTTTAATACTTTTTATAATATAGCCTATTTTTCAAAACAGCTGATGTTGAAGCTCATATAATTTCCCCTCTATGAAATTATCCTGAATCAAGCAAAGTCTGAAGACCTTATTAGAGTAGGTCCGATCATGGATTACGTGAAATGCTGATATGTAGACAATGGATGTCTTCGTTGATAATCTTAATGATTGTTCTAAAAATAGGGAAAAAGTTAGTAAAAAGATAACTCGATGTAACTTATTAATAGCTGAACCGGTAACTTTATTAATAATTAGTAACACTTTGTTCATTAAATGGAATCAAATCAAAAAAAATGTTTTTTTATTTGCAAATGGGTCAATATTGCAATAAAAATTGTTTAAACTGTAGTGCTCCTTTTTTCTCATAGAATAACGGCTCCTGGACAAGTAAATCGTCGTAATTAATTGGATAAAATTACGAGAAACCACAGAGACTACATTTAATGCAACGAACAAAATATAAATGCACATCTTGAATATTATGTGTCAGTTTGTAGCTAATAAATGACCGAGTTGCAATTGTTTGAGAAAAACTAAGAGTCTACATATACGTAAATCTTTTATTGTAGGCTACAATTAGAATGTTATGAATCCATGGAAAGCAAGATGCAGTTCATTTTTTTTATCATGATACTAGACTTTATATTATAATTTTGAGATTCCTCTTAAGATAAATTTTTCAATTAAAGTATTACTATCGTTATATTATCTCTTGTCGATAAAACCAATTAAAATAAATTTTTCTTATCGAAATTATTTTTGATCAATTATAAGCAACATGAATATCATCAATGTCAAACTTGTGTAGTAAAAATACAACATTGGAACTAATGCGTGCCAATACGCATTGTATGCGAATTTTGTGCTTATAGTCAAAACATAAAATAAACTCAATTACTATACTATATAAGTTTGTTTCTTTGATAATTTAAGGCTAAGCTTGCTGTTTAAAAAGATTGGCATGACAAATCTATAATATTCGTGAGCTTCCGTCCAGAAAAATGCAGGTCTTTCGCAATTGAATCATAGTCATCTACCAATACAGCGTTCAAAACTGTATATCCTGTAGTATATTATCGATATAACAATCAAATTAAGGTAAATTGTCTGTTATCTGCTAATAAAAAGTAAGAAGAACGAATTCATTTCTTGATAAACGAAAATCAGAATCTCTTGTTCGATTTGAACTTTAAAATATGTGATATCTCCAACAATAGTTGGGTCTTTACCAAGGTGATCAATACTGAAAATTCGAAATAATTTATTTTCAATGGTATTGAGAGTGCGGTATGCATGAACGATGAAATAGTCAAAGAATGGCAATATCGGTATTAAAATTGCAGACAAATGTGATGAATACGAATGTAGTCCAACAAATGTTAGACGTGAGTTCGTACTACAGTATTTGGTTACTTTACGGATATTATTCGATACGAAACCATTTATTTTTGATATTGAGGTGATCGGCAAGGTGCAGAAGCTAAAAGTATGATTTGAACAATGTTCGCTTCAAAAGATCTATATGGAAAGATGAGAAAAATAATTGAATAGTGTTATCGTTTACGCACTATATCAAGGTTTGTTTTTATATTCTAATCGAAGCTATGGATATAACCTTTATTGCAATACTAAATATTTATGAGGCAATACGCTAGGTAAGTCTTTTATTATTTACTTTTATACAAAGATTATGTTTATATGTCTATTATGTTATATATTGTTCCTTATTCAGATGCAGTTTATAAGACTTATTGTCTAGATGATGTTATGTTTTGTTTTCTTTCGTATTCTTCTTTCTCTTATATAGATATCTTCCTTTTCTGTTTTCCTCTGTCGATAGATATTTTGTCTTTCTATAATATCTGTACATGGTGGATTTTTCCTTATTCGAACTTGTTTTATGAATTTACACTTTCTTGTTCATTATCTAAGATATTTTCCATCGTATGGATATTCCTTTCTTGTTATCGCACTCTATCTAATCGTTACATTGGTGTGAGAAAGTTTATTCAGAAATGAAGTCAAATGAAAATAAGTCATCATTTTTGTATATAGCGACAATTTCTAAACTGATTTAATCCTATGAAAGATACATGCAGGTCATTAGTCTAGACAATTGAATTTTATTCGAATAAGAATACTACGTACTCTGTGAGCTTCATGGAAGGTCATACATGTTGAACAGATAGATTTTGATTTTTTTTATTCGGTTTTTCTTTTTTTTTACATAAATGATGTTTGTCAAATCACGCATTAGCATTTTTATTATTCTATTGTTTATCAAAAAAAGAACACACTGATAAAAAGTTGTAAAAAAGAAATTAAACAAGAATAAGATATTCATCATTATGCTCTTCTGTAGTTTATATAACTATTAACTATTAAACGTCTTTTTATTTGTATGAGTGAATAATTGATTTCATATAGACTCGATATGAAACACCAATCTTGTTATCATTAGCAGGAAGAGAAATTTATTTATATGAAACGACTTTTCTGTGTAGCATCTTCAAATAGTTTCATCCTATTAAAACAATTTACTCCAATCGCTAACAACACATAAATGTTACATTTTTTTAAATAAACAAAGATACTTTTATTTTTTTTCATTAAGAGTTGTTGATTTGTCTGTTAATGAATATTTTTCTTGGAGTCGGACGATGCATAATTTTAATGGATGTAGCTATGATACCTTTCTCTTCTAAATAGGACAAGATATTTGAACAAATATGAAAACAAATATCTACATAAATTGACTTGAAATTCACATTTATTTCCTTCTTTCACTTCTGATTGAAAATTACTTTTGACAAATGAGATTGATGAAAGAAAATGCTATTTTTCTCTTTTGCTATATTTGCCTTGAAATTATTTGAGTCGAAATCCATTTCTTGAATGGTTTCCGAAATCACAATTGTTAATAATGATGAAAAAGTGTTGTTGATGAAAATTAAACACAGGAAGCTGTTTAGGGTGCAAAAACTCTGTTTCTTCTGACAAAATATGAAGGCTTCAAGTATTTAGCGAAAAAATTTCGGTGATGATATATATCAGATGCTTCTCGTGTTGTTCTCAGAAGTAGTTCTACATGGAAAAATATGAAGTCCTAATGGACTAATGAAATATTCAAACGTCTTTGCATAGCGAAAGATAGATAGCTTAATCTAGAAACGATCTAAATTGCTAATGTTTCTGATTGGGGGAATATATGTCTCTGTCATGAAGAGCCAGAGAGAAAATAGTGTAGTACGAAACTTTCCGGCTGTGATATGCTTCAGACGTTTATACCAAATTCATTTTTGCTACGAAATCTGAAGGAATTATTATATGAAATTTATGACACTACGCAGCTTTTGATGTGGTTTCGTCCATGCTTACCATACTCTACAAGTATAGTGAAGTTTCGCGAGATCTTGATGAATCTGAAATGATTGCTGTGACTCCATATCTTCAGTGTAGTTCAAGCGCAAGTCGCTTGAATAATCCTTGTAAAAAGAGTTCAGCAATAAAAGAATAAAGTACGAGATAGTACTATTTCAAACACTTGTAACCGTTTTTTACTTGGCATTGTTCTTTAAATTATCTAAAACCTTTAATGATTTAGTATTAAAGGAAATGAACGCTAAAAAGTTCATCATCTCCTCTAAAACCATATATGGCTCTTTATGACATCTTTGTTAAGAGAATAGGTCGATGAATTGCGTTGATTTTTCCGCTTTTAAAAATGCATATTTCTCTTTTCTTTTATAAGTAAATGTGTTTAATCAAAAGAGATGATGACACGTGATTTTATGTTGTTTTTAATTTTATTTTATCATCCTGATTAAATAGAAATTAAAAGTAATATATTATTGGGATTAGATAAACTCAGCTTGCAGTGCACAGTTACTATCCTCATTAATACTGCCATCAGTATCACTATAATTATCAAGAAAAACTAACGGCTCTCATCAGGTTCAATACCATTGTCGGGCGATGTATCCGTACGCTGTCTCTCTTGTATTCCAACATGTGGTTCATCAAGCAATTGTTCTAGAGCATCGACGAACGCTTGCACTTGTGGCAAGCTTTCATGATTCTGCTGTTGATTGTTCGGTGTTTCCAATGCCCATTTAAAAACCGATGGTACCCAGGGACGAGGATCATCACATTTGGAAACTTTCGGATAATCGGTCATCCATTGAATGCCATCAGGTTCAGGGCAGTGATGAGCGCAGACATCGATTTTAATTACGTAAGGTAAATGATGAATATCATCGAGAACGTCTTGATAATTTCGACAACAGATGAAGAAAGCATACCTTTGTTCAGGTCGTAACGAATCGAAGGGATAGTTCACGCGATATTGCAAGAGTAAATCGTGATCATGTTTTCTTTCAGGGTCATAGACAAGGGGAAGCATTTTTGTCCTTTACTCTTGTATTTTTGTTTATCCAATTTATACCTGCTAAGAGAAAAAAAACCGAATACCGGTCGATTATGGTAAGAGTAGCTGTGTAATTCAAATTATGACATGCATTGTTTGTTCCTTTTTCTTCACGTTGGAATATTTTGTGCAAGTCTGTTTTTGAGTAGTAGCTACCGAACGAATGGCGAGTTTCTCATAAAATGTTAGTAGCCTGCTGTTACCCATCGTTAGGAAAGCATTGCGGTTTTCATGACGCAACCCTATGGTGGAAAAGCTGATTACAATCAATTTTTAATCAAATACCAACGAATTCATCAAAAATAATCAATTTTAATTCAGCAATTCTATATGCATTAGTTTTCGTCCTCATGATCTTTCTACTGATCGATCGATCTATACATAACGAATGGATTACAATGAAGTGGCGCGTATCTTTGCCAGAGTGGTCGAATTTTTGTATAGCACGATCGTATTGCGCCATAGTTTGATCATTTCGGCGAAATTATACGAGATTGTAGTGTAGGGACTGAAGACTAATTTGTCTTATTGATAGTCAGAAACTAGAGGCGGCTGTAATATTTTTCAACCATTATTTTATTCCATTCATCTATTAAAAAGCAACACACGACTGTTGTAGTAGCATAACCAATGCTCCAATCTTTTTGTTGAATGAGTTACTATTTTGCGACTTGACAACTTCAAACAACCTGTTCTTTTATCTAGATGCTATCTTAATTTGTTACAACCGCACGGCTCTTTCGAAAAAAAAACGGCTTGGACGTTGTACAAGTCGGTGTTTCGCAAAGAAAACACTCAATTCTTTGAACAAAGCATCCGACTCTGCTGCTGATGGTAACACCTTGCCCATGTAAAACAACCGGTCGAACAATCAGGTTAAAATTGATTTTTCAAACAATCATCTCAAAATGTCGCTTAGAGGTGTAATAAAATAATCAATTAAAATGGAATTGAACTGAGGATAGTCAATGCAAGTCAGTTTTTCAGCAGAAAATCTGAATGACGGATTGGAACAAATCGATTTTAATCAACTAAGACAATAATCAATGAAAATCTAAGCTATTTGAAATAATCCAAGTAATGAATAAAAAACTCAATCGATTATAACCGATTTCAACAATAATATATTGAATTTTATTCCGTTTGGAATAATCTAAGTAAACGATTAAAAATTGAATCATATTTAATTGGTTTCAAGAAAAATCTGCTAAAATCTGTTTTGCTTAAGATAATGTAAATAATGGATTAAAGAGTTGGTTAGCGCCGTTTCTTTGGGGCTGCCATGTAGACTCCACTTGTTCTTGAGCTTCATTGTACTATTAAGTGATACATGTAGTGTAAAATATCCAGCAGATTATAATTGCATTCCAAAATGGTTGATCATCGGAGATACGGATGGCTTTTTCTATATCTGAACTTCGAACAGATTTTTTCAACTAGTAGTAATTATGTTCGCTTCTTCTCTATCTTTTCGCTGTTTTTTTTTGATTTAGTTTATCTTGATCTCAACATTCCTTTGATTATAAGTATTGAATTAACCGGCAAAAGAGTTTGTTGTATATATGTTCACTATTTTCTACAGCACTACGCCTAAACCTTCTATTATGTGTCTCTACAAACTGGGTGTGGCTCTCTTCTATGATACGCTCACACATTCACATCCACACTATGTTCTTCCGCAAACTTAAAATTCTATGAAAAGAAGTTACAGAAAACAGGATTTTTTTTTACTTCTTCAGCATTAGAAACAAGTGTAAAATTTTTACAAATCTTTCCACATGTTTCTCTGCAACATGATAGTACATATGTAATCAAATTTCTATTTTCTTTTGAAAACAAACAACACACACCATACTAAAGCACAGAGCTGGTTCAAGATATCGAATAAATTGAAACACAGATCTCTTTGGCATATATCCGTTTTATCTTTATTTCCTGTACCAATCTTAATGAAGAAAATCTATCTTCATTGTGTACTTCCTAAATAGAGATTCTTCTATATATAAAAGAAAACAAGCATACCTATATCCTCAAACGCGCAATTTATCAAAATAACTATCGTGCGCAGAAATGCAATGAATTGCCTATATTTTCGATTATTTAAACGATTGCTGTGATAAATCTTGAATTTAGTAATCGATTTCATCCTTCATTATATCGATAATGTATGCTATTTTATGCAGGAAGGCTTCCTTTTTTTTCTGCTACATTTAGAATCTCGTATTATTGATTTAAACAAACGAATATTTTTATTGAAAAATGAAGTGACTACATTAATATACATACAAGAAACATGTTGCGAAAACGAAGCAATAACACGGCACGTAATTTTTCATAGTTAAATGAGGATAGTTTCGCGAAAAAAGAAAAATAATAAGATATTCACAAGCAAAAATCGATGTGCGTGTGTGTATGTGTGAGAGTAAGTATATGGATGTTGGTGTAGGATTGTCGGAAGAATATCTATATCGAAATCGAAACCCACATCCATCTATCCAATCAGTGGCATAAAAGACACAAGGAATATGGTTGAAACCAAAATGTACTCTTTCACATCGCATGTGTATAACAGTCCAATAGAAATTAGTGCATGAGGATCGGAAATCGACTACGGTTTAGCACATGCTTACGGTAAATTCAAATGAATGACATTATTCAATGAATGAAACATGCTTATGTTCATTGTTTTTCAAGCTCGTTCTGAGCCATTTCGCCTTGTCAATCATATCTCCAATACTATCTTTGAGCGTCGTTATTAAAAACTCCTAATTTAACGCTGGCTCTTATCATCAGGAAAGACAGTCTTCAATTCCTTTCTCACAGTATTAACATTGTTCTATATCTTCATTTGTAAATTTCTCCATCATCTTGACCGAATTCTTCGAACCGATGAAATCCTCTTCATTCTTGTAACCATACACGAAAAACAATGCAATGCTCTTGTTTATCTGTACAAATCGATAGACTTCAGAAACTATGAGAAAAAAACTGGAGATTATACAAGATGCTCTCGGCTATTATCGACATATCTCTTCGTACGTTGGAGAGCGAGGATGAAAAGAATCTTCATCCACTTACTTGCTTGTATTGCTCATCTTTTCAGGAAGTATAAATAAGCCGATATCAAATGAAATTCATTTCCATATGAGTTTCTGGCAACAGTCTATGACAGATGGCTGTTAGTCATGACTGTATACTCTTTCACGAGAGTGAAGAGAAGTATCATTCTCTATCGACAAAAACTTACTTTGCTGTCGCAGAAAATGGAAACGAATAAATGATCAAACTAGAATCATATGATGACACTCGGCTATAGATATGTCAGAAAAGCGACGAGTCGACAATTCAATGTTCAAATTGTTGATCAGCAACAAATATCGAAATTCATTGATGATCGATCGACATTTCAAAAATTCTTTGGATCTCGAACGGTTGTAAACAGAGCGAAAATGGCGAAGATGAAAATTTTTGTTCATCCAGAAATCTCTGCAGTGCTGATCACGGCAATCGACCGAAACTGGTAGATTCGATGGCGAGAACAATCTGTTATGTGAACATGATTCGAAGTTGATGAATTGGTCGAATGGCATATGTAAAAGTTGAGGTTCGGACGTGGACTTTGTTTACATTCCTATCGACATCCACACTCCGAGCTAAGATGAAAAGATTTTAGAATGCTACCATGATTCTTTTAGTGCTTTTTTTATTACGTATAATAGAAAAGGAACATTAGTTTGTAGAATGTGTAAATACAACCAAAAAAGTGACAATTGACGACCCTTCTCATGAGATGGAAGATAAAGAAGCGCTTGAGTAAATAAAACAACCGAATATAACTTCAGTAGTAGTTACACACGCAAAAAGTAAAGGCTTAGAAGACCATGTTGCAACTAGTCAAATAAGAAAGAATTCTTGATTTCAGTTTCAGATGAATAGTGTCGAACTGATCAGTCGATTTTTCACTGTCATTGAACTAGACATTTTACCTAAGATTCGAGTCAGTGTTACACAAGGTAATGGTGTTTTTGGCGCAGCTATTCTTAAAAAATCAGACCTTTCGCTTATTATTGCCGAAGCCAACAATGAGGTAGAAAATCCACTTTGGCATGGTGAAGTAAACGTAATCAAAAAGCTCTGGGAAATAAAGGATCGATCCAGCTTGCCAAATCCAAAAGATTGTATCTTTCTCAGTACACACGAGCCGTGTTCGCTTTGTCTTTCGGCTATTACATGGGCTGGTTACGATAATTTCTATTATCTCTTCAGCTACGAAGATAGTCGTGATCGTTTTAAGATGCCGTATGATATTCAAATTTTAAAGGAAGTTTTTGGCAATGTTGAAGACAATCGTCCATTTTACAATCGTAGAAATGCATTCTGGTGCAGTTACAATATTCAGGAGATGATCAATAGTCTTGGCAAGAATGACCATAATCGACAAATTCTGCTCAATCATATGAATAAAATAATTCAATTGTATGCCGAACTATCAGACGTTTATGAAGCAAATACGAGCAAACCTGTAGTTTACCAGTTTTGAACTGTTATGTTGCGGGTGTGAGTGTGCATATAAGTGTGAGTCTCGTTGTGGATGAACGAATGGCCCTCAGCTGCACCTATCCAATTTTCATTTAGTCTAGTGGTTTTGCTCGCACACATATACAGTCGTCTTTTTTATTTTCTCTTCTCGACATATTGTTCTCCGTTTTCTGTCATGTGTTCTGTGTGTATTTGAGCGCGATGAACAGCTTCACCTCATTTCTCGTTATCTATATATTCGAAGACAAATATCAAATGCACTAAACCTCGTTCTTATTTTTCCTTATCTTTCTCTCCTTAATCATATGCGCGTTAGCTCTCATTCTCTTCGTTTGCATCAAATAGATTTCATTACATTTTGTTTCTAATGACATGCGTAGATTCGAAGGGGGGGGGGGGGGGGGGG